TTTGGGGGGTTTTGGGTCCATTTTTGGGGGGTTTTGGGTCCATTTTTAGGGGATTTTTTGTGGATTTTGGCTGATTTGGGGGGATTTTGGGTCCATTTTGGAGCAGTTTTGGGTCCATTTTGGGGTGATTTTGGGTCCATTTTGGGGTGATTTTGGGTCCATTTTGGGGTGATTTTGGGTCCATTTTTCGGGGGTTTTGGGTCAACTTTGGGGAGGTTTGGGAGGATTTTGGGGGGTTCCAGGTGGGGTTTGGGGGGTCCCAGGTGGGATTTGGGTCCATTTTGGATGATTTTGGGTGGATTTTGAGGGATTTTGGGTCCATTTTGGTGGTTTTCAGGTGGATTTTGGGGGCTCCCAGGTGAGATTTTGGGGGTTATTTCAGGGTGGTTTTGGGGTAATTTTGAGGTCTTCTGGGGATAATTTTGGGGTGATTTTGGGAGTAGTTTTGGGGTAATTTTGGGGGTGGTTTTGGGGTGATTTGGGGGTGATTTTTGGGGTAATTTGGGGGCAATTTTTGGGGTGTTTTTGGGGTAATTTCGGGGCAATTTTGGAGTGATTTGGGGGTAATTTCAGGGCAATTTTTGGGGTAGTTTGGGGGTAATTTTGGGGGTGTTTTGGGGGGTAATTTCAGGGTGATTTCGGGGCTGATTTCAGGGTGTCTTTGGGGTAATTTCAGGGTGTTTTTGGGGTAATTTCGGGGTGTTTCCGGGGGGTGATTTTGGGGTGATTTGGGGGTGTTTTGGGGGGGTAACTTTAGGGTGATTTTTAGGTGATTTTGGGGTAATTTCGGGGTGATTTGGGGGTGTTGTTGAGGTAGTTTCGGGGTAATTTCAGGGTGATTTTTGGGGTAATTTCAGGATGGTTTTGGGGTAATTTTAGGGCGATTTTCAGGGTGATTTGGGGATGATTTTGGGGTAATTTCGGGGTTGTTTTTAGGGTGTTTTGGGGGTAATTTCGGGGTAATTTTAGGGTGATTTCAGGGGTGTTTTGGGGGTAATTTCGGGGTGATTTCAGGCCGGTTTTTGGGTGTTTTCAGGGTAATTTCGGGTCGATTTTCGGGATGTTTTTGGGGTGTTTTTGGGGTAACTTCGGGGTGATTTTGGGATAATTTCGGGGGGTGTTTTTTGAGGTATTTTCGGGGTGATTTCGGGGCGATTTCGGGGGTGGTTTTGGGGTAATTTGGGGGTGTTTTTGGGTTAATTCGGGGTGTTTTCGGGGTCCGTGACTCACCCGTCGGTGCCCGCGGTCACGACGGCCACTTTCCCCTCCAGGGGCCTCGCGGGGGTCCCCGAACCCCCCCCGGGTCCCCCCAGGGCCGAAAGGAGCCGCCCGGGGACCCCCTTGGGGCCCCCCCCGCGAAACATCCCCCAAAAAAACACCCCCCGGACTCTGAACCGGGAACTGGGAGGGACTGGGAGGGACTGGGAGGGACTGGGAGGGGATTGGGAGGGACTGGGAGGGGATTGGGAGGGGACTGGGAGGGCCTGGGAGGGGATTGGAGGGGACTGGGAGGGACTGGGAGGGGACTGGGAGGGACTGGGAGG